CACTGAAAGTCTATGTGGCCGCTATTGCCTCGTTTCGTTCCCCGCTGGGCGGGCAATCGATCGGTAGGCACACGCTGGTGGTGAGTGTTCTTAAAGGGGCGAGGAGGTTGCATTCCCCGCGTTCGCCTTCAGTTTGCCCTGGTACCTAGAGGTGGTGTTCAGAGATCTTTCACAACCACCATTCGAGCCTTTAGCATCCATTGCCATGAAGGAGCTATCGCTCAAACTGCACTTCTTCTTGCCCTTGCTTCAGCTAAGCGCATAGGGGATTTACATACATTTTCTGTGGACAGCGATTGTATTTGCTTCGGACCCGGTGACTGCAGCGTCACTCCCCGGCCTTCAGTTTGCCCTGGTACCTAGAGGTGGTGTTCAGAGATCTTTCACAACCACCATTCGAGCCTTTAGCATCCATTGCCATGAAGGAGCTATCGCTCAAACTGCACTTCTTCTTGCCCTCTCTTCGGCTAAGCGCATAGGGGATTTACATGCGTTTTCTGTGGACAGCAATTGTATTCGCTTCAGACCCGGTGACTGCAGCGTCACTCTCCGGCTGAGACCGAGCTACGTGCCTAAATCACTATCTACCCCCTTCAGAGCGCAGACGGTTTCGCTGTCTGCCCTGTCTTCTGAGTCACCGACCTCGCGTGATGTGGACGCTCAGATTTCGGTGTGCCCCGTCAGGGCTTTGAGGATTTTCATTGACCGTTTCGGCCAGCTTTCGGCAATCTGACCAGCTTTTCGTGTGCTACGGTGGTTGTGCGAAGGGCCTTGCCGTGTCAAAAAGGAGTCTTTCCCACTGGCTTGTTGACGCTAACACAGCTGTTATACAAGCCAAGGTTTTGAATGTCCTTTGCACATTAGGGCCCACTCAACAAGAGCTATCTCCTCCTCCTGGTCGTGGTCGAGAGGTATGTCTTCAGGATATATGCTTTGCAGCCAGCTGGCCTTCTCAGAATACCTTCGCCAGGTTTTACAAGCTGGACGCTCAGTCCTTAGCCTCCCAAGTGCTGCCGGTGAGTGACTGATTCACGTTTATGCTACCTCTATTCATGTGTGTTTGCTGCCTCGCACAGTAATTACTCTGCGCAGCCCTATATGCTATTGTTGCTGTTGTCTGCCCTGTACTCAGTGCAGCTCCATGCTATTCAATGTCTAATTCGATTGGTGTACCATCATCATCTTATGTGTTATACTGCTGCTTAACACCGTTATCTCTGTGCAGCCCCCCCTCACAATACTGTGGTTGTTGTTGCTTCTGCCGTTTCTCAGCGCAGCATACGTCATCACTGACCAGATATGCAAATTTAGTATAGCTGGGCTTTAGACGCTCATTGGCTTGTCTCCACCTATCAGATGCAAGCCCGCCTAGCAAGCGTCGCTATTGGTTGTGGGAATTGTGTGTTCTATCTTCGCTGAGTATGTGACTTGTACAGGCTGCTCGTAGCCTCTCTCACAGCGGGATTGAATATCGTTCCCATAACGGAGAAATATCTCCGTGATGTCTCGTGAAAGCTCGAGAGGGAACGCTCCGGTTACTATCGTAACCTCGGTTCCCTGAGAGCGGGAACGAGACATCACGGTGGTCGCCGTGTTCGCTGCTCGATCAGCTAAGCTGCGTTCAGTATCAGATTCTGACGTAATTGTCGCGTGCACCGCATTTCATACTGCCTCTCGAGCGCGTCAGTATTTGCATGTGATTTGCATACAGTCATTTGGACTGGCGTGAGCCAATAGGACTTCAGGAAAGGTTGGAAGGGAAGGAGTTCCCATAACGGAGAA